AATGTCAAGGAGTTTGGACTTTAATTAATAAGGAATGGGAACCAAGGGTAGGTTAACTCAAAATAAAAGTGTAATGACTGGTCTAGAATTACATCCACTCCTCAGTTGCTGACTACCTTGTTGTCTGGCATTTCACACTTATGACAATAATAAAAATGTACTATTCGACTATTTTGTGCATTAATGAAATATGTCGGCACTAATGATTATTGAAGTGTGAGGTGAGGTATTGCTGGATGTGATAGTTAAGGTTGTGTCAACTTGGCTGGGCCGTGATTTCAGTGGTTTGGCAGTTATGTAATGATGAAATTTGGCAGATATGTAATGATGTAGTCATCCTCCATTGTTTTTTAAATCTGATGTGGTCATCGTCCATTTTCATATGCCGATTTCCACATAACACCCTGGTCTTTGGAAGCTAACCATGTTGTTAATTGAGGAGGTGGTGTACTAAGCCATAAAACACAATTGTGAGAGAATAGCTGTCATCCACGATAAGCTCAAGTTACTGGGGATGGGTGGGGGATGGGATGGAAAAAGTTCTAAACTGTTGCACATATTTCAGATCAAATAGTAATTTCATAAAAAATTGTGTAGTATGTTCAATCACTGACAGATATTTATATTTAAAAAGAGAGTCCAGAGCAATTTATCTCATAATTAAAAAGTAGATAAAATAAAAGGAATTAATGGTCAATGTGTAGTTTTTAACAGGTTGTAAATATAGAAATATATGTATATTTTTCAAAGTAGAATATTAGATTGTTTTTAAGGATTATAATGGTTACCTAAGCCAGACAGAAGGAAAAGTATGTGAAAAACAGAATACAAAGATTTTAAGAGGTAATAAAAGAGCAGAGAAATAACCATTCCTTTTCAAATCATCTAGGTTGGTCCCCACACTATAGCTCTTTAACTGGTAAAGGTGACTGTTAGGGATAATAGCATTCATACAAGCATTCATAGTATATTTTGTGGCACAGTGCCTTCTGCTAACCAGAAGGGTGGTGGTTCAAACCCAGCTGCCACTCCGTGGAAAGACGGTAATCTAATTCTGTAAAGATTTACTGGTAAATCTTTACCGAAGTAGGTTGCTGAATCTTCCTTCCTTGGAGTAGTTGGTGGGTTTAAACCACCAACTTTCTGGTAACAGTCAGATGCCTTAGGCACTACACCACCAGAGGTCCTTGATTCTGACTCATTCCAACCCCCATTGGACTTCCAAGGTGGTAAATCTTTACAGAAGGAGATTG